TGGCGTGTTTCCAGTCACTGGGTAATGTTCCTGTATTGAATGATGTTTGGAATACTTTTGTTAGTATTGGTGCTGTGATATCCTTAAGTTCTTTCAGTATACTGCCGTGTATATGGTCTGGGCCTGTTACTTTGTGTTGGTTAATGTTATTGAGTAGTTGGTCGACTTCTTGCCATGTTATGTGTATTTATTACATACTTACTAATAAATGCGTGTTTTTTTGGGTTTTTTTGTATATGCGATACGACACAATTGCTCACACCCCAAAACCCGTATCAGCCCTCTCCGTATCAGCCCGCAAAACCCGTAGCACACCCCTTTTGGAAAAAGAAAAAAATAGATCATAAGATAGTAACTTTTATAATAAGTATGTAATAAACAGAATAAAACACGTCTTTTTCCATATCACACCCAGTATCAACCCTCGACCAATATCAGCCCTCGGGCTGAAATTGCAGTCTCGGGTTGATACTGGGTGTGATATGTAAAAAGGCATGTATTATTCTCTATATCTTGCATAGGTGGGTGGGGAGATATTCCTTTGTCAGGTATTGTTGTGTTTTGTTCTGGTGTGAAGGCTTCTTGAAACTGTTCATTTAGTATGTTTGCCGTTGTTTCAGGGCATATTGTGAGGTGCCCGTTTTTACGTAGTGCTATGAGGTCTGTGGTTTTTTTGTTTTGTTTTGTGGTTTTGATGAACGAGAAGAGTCTTTTGGGGGGTTGTATTTGTTCTTTGTGCTGGGGTCTTCAGGTTCCCCTATGGGTAGGTCGGTAATCATCTTCTCAATGTATTGTAGGTATGCGTTGCGGGGTTGTTTTTGTACTCCAGCTTTAACTGTTTTGTATGTGTGGATACGTTTGTGGTTTGTTCTTGATTTATGGTTGAGGCGTTTAGAATTGTTTGAGAGGCGACGAAGTGAATTGTTCATCCAGGGTAGACTGTGTTTGTATGTTAAAGATTTTATTGGATTGTTTTTTTCTGTAGATGTAATATACGTGTTAGGACCACGAATTGTATGTACTCCAAACCATTTGGAGAGATTTGTCGTCGCCATAGCCTTCGCTATCATTGCTATGCCGATGACACACAAATGTACATGGTCATAAAACCACAGGACAGTTGGAATACAGTCTCAGAAAGTCTGGAAGCTTGTCTGACAGATATCAGCATCTGGATGAACGCCAACATGCTTAAACTTAATCAGGAAAAGACGGAACTAATCGTCTTTTCCCCAAAGTGTCAAGAAACAATGGCTCTCCAGCTCAAGGTTGGTGCCAGAACTATTGAGACAGTTCCAGCTGTTAAAAACCTAGGGGTATACTTTGACAGTTCTCTGAACATGGAGAAACAAGTGAACGCTATTGCCAAATCCTGTTACTACCAGATCAGGAACATCGGCTGTATTCGGCAGTTTCTAACTGCAGATGCATGCAAGATTTTGGTGCATTCACTTGTTACCTCTCGGTTGGATTATGGTAACGCCCTGCTCTGTGGTATATCTGACAAACTAACTAGTCGTCTGCAGAGGGTTCAGAACACTGCAGCACGGCTAGTTACTCGTACTCGAAAGAGAGAGCACATCACACCTGCGCTTTATTCGTTGCACTGGTTACCTGTACGATACAGGTCGCAGTACAAAATTCTGGTATACACATACAAGGCACTGAATGGAACAGCTCCTCAGTACCTACAGGAGCTTGTTACCCTGTATCAGCCGTCAAGATCACTGCGGTCGGAGTCAGAATCTTTGTTGTGTGTCCCAAAATCTCGTACTGTGACCTACGGAAACAGATGCTTTGGTAGGGTTTCGGCTTCGTTGTGGAATAGCTTACCATCTGCTATTAGGAAGTCAAATACCCTGGCCAAGTTCAAGAGGGACATAAAAACTCACCTCTTCACGTCTGCATTTTAGAATCTTTGCAAAGACGTCATGTAAATACCACCCTTTTATTTGTTCAATTATGTGCACATTGCTTGTTAAATGTATGAAAGTGATTGCCAGCCTTTGTTGTTTGTTTTCACAATCATTACCATTACTATTATCTATATGTTGTAAAGCGCCTTAGAGTAATTTTACAAATTATATAGGGCGCTATATAAATGTTGTATGTTATTATTATTATTATTATTATTATGAGGAGTCGATGCAACATATGTTAGACAAGCTTGGTAGTTGGTGTAAAAAGTGGAAATTAAGCAGAAATCAAGAAAAAACAAAAGTGCATTTCCGCAATCAATCTGTACCTCTAACAAATTTTAATTTTACATGTGGTGCTATACCTATAGAAAAAATCCAGAATTACAAATACCTTGGTTTATGGTTTCAGGAACACTTAAATTTACATTTTACTGTACAAGAATTATGTAAATCTGCAAGTAGAGCATGGTATGCTCTTTATTCCAAGCTGGAGAAATGTGTTATGAAGTTTACTGTAAGCTGTATGTATCCCTAGTGGAACCAGTGCTATATCATGGTACTGGAATCTGGGGTCTGAATAAATATAGAGAAGTGGCTATGGTTCAAAATAAAGCATGCAGGTATTTTCTGGGTGCTGCTAGAAAAGCAAGTAATGTAGCTAGCCCTTCGAGGAGATATGGGTTGGAATTCATGTAAAGTTAACCAATCAACTGAAGTTTTTAGACTATATTTACGTATAAAGAATTGCAATGATAGCAGACTACTGCAGACAATTCATCAATGGCAATGTTCTATTAGAAAATCCTGGGACTCTCGGGTTATTAGTCTGATAGCGGAGAAAAAAATAAGTGAAGTTTTAACCGCAAATACGTCAACGTACAAATGTATGAAGGATATTAAGAATGTCCGGAGTTTTTTAATGGAATGTATATTTTATGATGATCTTAGATCTGTAATTTTAACGAAAGAAACAATGTATATGAATTTTTCAATGATATGAACAAATTTGAACAGTTCAGATATGTGAACCAGTTCTCCAAAAGACATTAGCTACCCAACTTTCTCTTATGTGGAGGAGAAGAACTATGTTTCTCCCATATTAAATTATGTATTATAATTAGATGTGCAGGTATGGGGTGGGGGATACATAATTTGTCGGTAGGGATAGGCCCAACCACACAGTGGTATAGCAGGCACTGTTGCATCCATCTTACACTACAATCCTACAATAACATTATTACAGTATTACACATATATTACTCCCACTACATGATACATGTATTATAGATAGTATACCACACCATACAGTGTAATTATACCATGGCATACTAGTGATTATCATACTCATCATACCATATAATATTACAAAGGTATAATAGACATGTATGAATAGAAACTTTGTTTTATTGCTGACATTAGTATCAATGTGGCTTAAATTAAGGAATTTTATTATTCATATAATCTAATGTTATTTTTTCCCCATAAAATGTAAATATTAATATTTAATGATTATTTTCTATTACTTAGTGCTGTATTAAATGTGTATTACATTTATATGAATGAAAAAAACTTTTTATCCATTTTATTATTGACTTTATTATCATATCTACAAAATGAGTTGACATTCTTAGGTGAAACGGGCTATAACTAAACTTCAAAGGATTTCCTATATAAGCACCTTCCTTTCAATTCTCCAGAGTTGGTGTTCGGGGAATGAGCCCTATATCAGCATGTTCTGTCAGCACATGGTGGATTTATAAAAGGAATATATACTGATGTCGCTGATTATTCCGTCTTTGCGTATTGCAGAGTTATCTTCTCTTGGGAGCAGTCATTGATTGTTACGTCACTTGTTTGTGAAAAAAACGTCATCAATTTTTGAGAAAACGACATAATTTTCTCACACAGACCAATGACGTAACAATCATTACCTGCTCCCAAGAGAAGATACCTCTGCCATACGCAAAGACGGAATAACTGACTTTAAAATGGTTTTATTATGGCCATTTACCTACCATTTACTCCCCCCGAATGAAACCCGATTCAAAACCAACAGTGGACACTCTTTGTTTTATTGACTATTGCGATTCGGGGCTCAGCGTCGAGGATGCAAAGAGGTGTAATCGTGTTGGGGGCGGGGCGGGGGATAAACAAAACATTAATTTTGAGGTACATGCCTCAATCACTGGCAAAAGATAAGGTGTAGACCTATGGTTTTGCAAACTATACGTTACGATAGCTGGAGTGGTGTTTATAGAACTTGACTGATCACAAAGTGCCCTCGCACCACTTGATCTCAAAATAATCGATTAAGTAAGTGCTAGAATTGCAAGCTGTGAGCGCCAAAATGGCAGCACCGACTGTTTCCTCCCCAGGATATTGGCTGGTTGAAAAGGCCCTATAACAACTGATTAAAAATTTGTGAACCGCTTTGAAACGACCTACGAACTAGGTTGTTGTAGCATCTAACGTGCTTCATATGTTTGGATGACTTGCCCATCCCCGGATTGAACCCGATTCGTTCTTGTACATATTAGATCCAGTCAACACATGTGTTCCATTACACTCAACATATTTTTATTAACTTCACATTGGAGAGTTCCACATATAACAGATGGCGAGTATGGACGAGTTATGTCCCTTTACCTGACTGAATATATACAATAGACAGATACCACATTCCGTCTTCTTTTTTTTTTTTTTAAAGAATTAATCATCTCAAATGAAATATTTATAGAAAATTAACCTTTCTCTTTCTTTAAACTTATCAATTATAATAATATGAAATGTTCTACAGTAATTAATACAATGCCAATTAACTCTTAGACTGCGGCTGGCGGGAATCCCCGCCCACGCTTATCTTACCGTGTGCCACTGCCGGCGGGATATACCGCCCATGAATAGGTTTCGTTTTCTAATTTATGTAACGGGAATTCCCGTGTTACTATATATGATATCTCGCGGGAAGTCAATAGAGGTGAGATCCAAGATGGCGGTCAAAAATCAACAGTGATAGAAGTCATTGATTTATGTCAGAAAAATGGGATTATTTGCATGTTTTGACTGAAATATTTTGCAACAATGGCTGAAGCCGAATTTTACGAACTTGTCGGTAACTCCGATAGCGAGGATGATGAATTTATGGGCTTCTATCCAGAAGATATTGGTGATGAAATCGGTGAAAACTTTGACCTTGATGCCGACATTGATTTGGATGATCAGGAATTGCGGGAAATTGAACAAGAAGTTGAGAATGAAATGGATAGGGAAGATCGTGACCCAAAGCATAATGCATATTTTTCTCCGTGGTTGACTGAGTTTTCCGAAAATTCGGGACCGAAACATGTGGAAGGATCGGAGTCGGATATTTTTCTTACGTTATTCAATAATGAAATTATCGATATATTAGTGACTCAAACAAACTTATACTATGAACAGTACATCACAAATCTTGGTGGAGTTGAAAACTTAAAACCTCACGCCCGTGCGAGAAAGTGGACTGACGTCACGAACTCGGAAATGAAAGCTTTCATTGGGATTATTCTCTACATGGGTGTAGTACGTTTACCTGGTTACGATTCATACTGGAACACTGATGAGTTAATATCTTTGAAAGGGTTTACTGTATTAATGCCAAGAGATAGGTTCTTAAATATTTTGTCATTTTTCCACGCCGCTGATAACTCACAAGAACCACCACGTGACAGCCCAAATTTTGACCCTACCTACAAATTTTCTGAGGTAGCAAAACTTCTTGTTTCTCAATGGCAACACTATTATTATCCCGGGAGAGAACTGTCTGTAGATGAAACATTAATTCCATATAAAGGAAGGACCAAGTATCTGCAATATATCCCTTCAAAACCCCATAAATGGGGGCTGAAAACTTGGACTTTAGCGGAGTCCAGTACAGGATACGTGTACAATTGGGTGTTGTATACAGGAAAAGCTGCTGGAGATCCCACCAAAGGAGCTGCTCACCGAGTTGTAATGAATGTTACAGAACCTTTATTACATAAAGGTCATCACCTGTACTGTGATAATTTTTTTACAAGCCCATCACTATTCCAGGATCTTGAGGATAACCAGACGGGAGCATGTGGCACGCTGCGGACTAATAGGATAGGAGTTCCTAATGCGGTGAAGACCGCCAAACCCAAAAAAGGTGACCTCCCAGTTGTTGTGAGACAGGGTAACAAACTTTACATATGTTGGCATGATAAGAGACAGGTGAACATGCTGACAACTGTCCACAATGGCAGTACATACACCAAGACAGTGAGATCTAAGTTTCATGACGGCCATGTACGCGAAGTTGACCACCCCAGAGCGATACAACTTTACACACAACATATGGGTGGTGTAGATGTTGCAGATCAACAAACACAATATTGTGTATCTCAACACAGAATGCTAAAATGGTGGAAGAAGTTAGTCATCTGTAATCTGCTTGAAGTGACTTTCTGTAACAGCAAAATTATCTGGAAATCTCTCAATGGAGGGAAAAAAGTGTCCTCAATGAAGTTTCGGTTAGCTGTCATTCACGGTCTGCTTGAAGGCTATGAACCTACAAACAAGAGATTTGCTAGGCCAGTGAACAACCCCCCTTCTAGGCTTACAGAGAAACACTTCCCATCCATGAATCCCCACATGACAGCAGGTGGACGTAGGTCAACTCCAGACTGTGCTGTTTGCTCTGACCGCGAGCAGAAAAAGCGACATCAAACCCAGTTCATATGTCTTCAGTGTGACACTCCCTTGTGTGTGTACCCATGCTTTATGAGGTACCACAGCATGGTATATTTCAAGATAACATGTTCTCCTGAGCTACACAAGTAAAATGTGACAGAAGAATAACAGTAAATTAGGTATGTTAGAGTTATTGTTGAGAAAATGTTGTTGTTTTTTTGCGTTTTTTGTTCGTTTTTGTTGTTCAACACCCCATTTCTCGAATAAATGACAACACTTCAAAACAAAGTTGGTTGCAAATGAAAGTTTACTTCAAACTCAAAAACATACCATAGTCTTATTGCAATCAAATGAAACACAAAAAAGTTACGATTTTTTAAATAAAATACACTAATTAAAAACCTCGTTAGCTGAAATTACTTGGTGGCTGGGTCTAAGGGGAGGTAAATCTTGCTTAGCAGTCTAAGAGTTAA